ACTAGCTATATTCGAAGACTATGTCGTGGTTAAGAGCAAAAATATCGTTTTCAATCCTTAGATAGGCGCTGCTATGCATACGAGGCTCAAGAATATTAAGAAGAGTACACTGTAACCCAGGGGACATTGATATTGAAATAGAGACAATATCGGCAACGATCCATTAATTTGATCCTTTTTGGACCTTATTTATTGGACATTTTTAATGATTTTAGTAACAATTTTTTTATTGGACGTTTTTTAATGATTTTTTAATGATTTTAGCAACCTTTATATTATTATTAATATATAAAGTTAATTAATTAGTATAGGTATTAGAACAATAATTTCAGATAGACGTTATTTAATGAACACAATATAAACACTAATTCGTATCAACGTATTTTTAACGATCTTTGTAAATTGAATGTATATGCAATTGTATTTAATAAAATTATTATTATTAATAATAATAATAATATTAATAATAATAATATTTATTCAGGAAGCTCCACTCGCCGAAGAGTTTTCCAGGGAGGTCCTGTATGCAAATATAAAACTACTGTACTTCATGATCAGTGTATAAAGTTCATTGTTTATAAATGCTACTGTTCGTTGAATCATCTTAGACTTGTTTGAGGCAAACTCCGTATGGGCGAATATCCTTATCATCCGGTGTTACGAAATAATCAGCCTCAGTGTGGTTGTTCTCCTTTGCCACGATATTAGAACTGTTGAGATTCACTCGATTTTGTAGTAACATCTTGTATGATACCCCCTTTAAAACAAATTGCTTGGCATACGATTCGGCGACCGCGAACGATGGAGTGGAGTAGATTCCTGGACCAAACATTTGCTTCGTGCATGTGCCCGTATCGTATCCACCACTGCAAATTCGTCTGATATTCTCGGGTGCAGTTCCATGATACGAAACAGCCCACTCTCCCTCTGATGACCACGTTCTGATACCATGTCGACCAAGCCAGACATCATCATCATAACGACCCAACACTTTCAGGGCAACTCTGTGGCAACTCTGTGGCAACTAGCTATATTCGAAGACTATGTCGTGGTTAAGAGCAAAAATATCGTTTTCAATCCTTAGATAGGCGCTGCTATGCATACGAGGCTCAAGAATATTAAGAAGAGTACACTGTAACCCAGGGGACATTGATATTGAAATAGAGACAATATCGGCAACGATCCATTAATTTGATCCTTTTTGGACCTTATTTATTGGACATTTTTAATGATTTTAGTAACAATTTTTTTATTGGACGTTTTTTAATGATTTTTTAATGATTTTAGCAACCTTTATATTATTATTAATATATAAAGTTAATTAATTAGTATAGGTATTAGAACAATAATTTCAGATAGACGTTATTTAATGAACACAATATAAACACTAATTCGTATCAACGTATTTTTAACGATCTTTGTAAATTGAATGTATATGCAATTGTATTTAATAAAATTATTATTATTAATAATAATAATAATATTAATAATAATAATATTTATTCAGGAAGCTCCACTCGCCGAAGAGTTTTCCAGGGAGGTCCTGTATGCAAATATAAAACTACTG